CACTCCAGAGAAAGACTAATTAAGTAAGTAAAGAATATCAGTGAGATGTCTCTCATTAAAAGATGTGCTGAGCTATTCACTCTGCATTGCGCGGTACGTTAAACAACGAGGAAGAAAGGACACGGGTAAATGTGGGTCCACTTTATTGGTTTAACAGTCCCCCTTCTTAAGCCTTTCCAGTCACTTAAACTGAAATAGCTTTGTTAGAATAAAAGTAAATAAAACAGAACATGCAAGCTCTTTTGTTATTGTGTGCAAGAGCACCTGATTGACCTCCAAGCCCATTTCCATCACCAGGTGGTGTGCAACAGCTCCCTTATTTAAACAGCCTACCGTGCTCAGCTGTCTGGGATACGGTCATCAGACACCCCCCCCTCCCCCTTCACTTCCAGCTCAAACTGGAATGGCGAATGTCCTGCCTATCCTACAGAGCCCCAGACACAGCTCCCCGAGTGGCTCCTCGCTCCCTGTGCTCCTCTCTGGGCCTGGCCGTGACCTGCCACTGCCCCAGTCCTGAGACGGAGGCTCCTCTGACCCGGTCCTGAGAGGGTGACTGCAGAACGGGCCCGTGCCTAGAGGGGGAAGACTTTCCCCTCTCGCTCTCCCTCTCTCCGCTGCAAAAATTTCTCCCCCTGGCTTTCAAAGCACTCCGTGTCACGAGACTGATTAAAACAAACACTGCTTGTATTTTTGTACCTAATCCAATTGTGAGCTTTCCTCCAGCCAGCCAGACCGATCAGAGTATTGGATGACCCAGAGGCATTCCCGGCTCAGCTTAAATTTCAAACACTAAGGTACATCACATATGGCAGCCAAAGAGTAAATAAAAGAGTTATTGGAACTCTTCTTTTTATCAAACATTTCTAAAAAGGACATATTAGGAGATAGCACATGGCAGGAGAAGATAAGAATTGAAGTTCTTGTCAGTGATATCTCAGCTCTACAGTGCTCGACATACTCAATCTAAGGGGCGCAGAGCAGGAGAGTGCCGACTGGGGCTTTATTGAGAAGGATTCCTGGGGCGCCCCTGTTTGTTGTTATATTAGCCCAGGCTTGATCAAGCTTAGCCAGGTCAGCCTTCCCTTTGACCTGTAATAGAGGATATGGAGAAAAGACTTCGCAGAGTTCTTTTTTTCTGTGAAATGCATGCTAAATTAAGACCTTTCCATTGCATGTGGTTCAGACTATGATAGGAGCTGTAAAATGAAAAATCAGAACTGAGCAAACATAGACATAAAAATAAACATGGCAGCTTTGTTCTGTAATTAGGACCTGCCGGCTTTCTTTTTATTTCATCGTGTTAAGGGGTTTTAAGTTTGTGCACTTCTGTCAAAGTATTACAAACCAAAAATAAAGCAGAACGGCTCATAATTCTAATTACAGTAGATAAAACTGATCTCTAGGCAAATCTTTGCTTTTCCCCATGGATATTTGCTATTAGTGGGAAAGCAATTACGGTAAAGTGAGAAAAATGCTCTTTAAAATCAAACGAGCTATTTTCAGAGAGCAGGTAGCCCTCCACCTTCCCAAACCATGAAGGGTTTGTGTCGTCAATGAAAAAATCGCTACCGCCATCTTGCGGTAAAACCGGGTAACTGATTACCTCAACTGAATCCTGATCTCGTGCTGCATTCTGCGATGTGACATCCAGCGGCAATGGGAGAAGCGGAGGGAGAAAATTGCGTCTCTCTGTCTACTTACACAGAGGGCAGAAATAACTGGTTTGTCTATAAGTCAGAGGTGTCACATTCACTGTTTGGAGGACCCTGTGTCCACTGCTTTTTCCAACGAGAGTAGTTAGGTTAATTAAACAATTAACCTAATAATTCAGACATACAGGATGTTACTGAGGGCGTTTCACGGATGAGTACTCAAAACACTCCCTTCGTTAAAAGAATGGTTACTTATAAAACACCTCAGAGTCAAGTTAGAAGTATTCTGCAGATAATTTTATGCTCTTTTTATGTAACCAAGAGCTTAGGTTGGAAGAAAAACCAAACTAGAGAACACTACACTCTCTGGGGATGGAGTCTGGCACCCCTGCTATAAATCATCTTGTTCTGGGCTGGGAACAAACTTTGCCCGACGCCATACTTAATGAAATTACAGCAATGACGAACATCGCCATCTTGAAACCGGTCTCTTTTGACTCTTAGGCTACCCTTTGCCATGGGGCTTCGTGTTTGATTAAAATCAATGCCCCAAAAAGCCCCGTCTGAACCTGGGACCACTTTGCTGCTGAAAAGGAATGATGCCACTCTTAAGTATCGGGCAAGAGACTCCGAGTTCAGTTTAGAAGTTAAATTTTCAAATCCGTCCCAGACAAGCTGATTGACTAGAGCAGTGATGCATAAAATGCAGACCCAGAGGGCTGCAGTGTCTGTGGGGTTTTGCTCCACCTCTGCTGCTCCTAATGACATAATTGGGATTACTAATCTCAGTGCAGCCCGTTTAGAACTTTCCAAAAGTCCTCTGCTGTTGATGACTGAAAGTGACCTAGAAAGACTGGGACCCCTCAGAGACTGGATCATCGTCAGTCTAAGCTTGGGGTGTCCAAACCTTTTCTTGATGCTCCCCAATCCAATTAGTCTTATAGGAATCACCTGAACGTTCCTAATCAACCAAGAAAATCTACTGATCAATTAACTTAAAAGACCTGGTCATCAAGTGATAAGGGTACAAAGATATTGTCCTATATAATCCTTAAAGGATCATTTATTTAGTGGTGACCTAGAAGACCCAGGACCAGGGTTGGAGACTCCTTGTCTGAAATATATTCCCTGCCCTGTGGAAGCAAAATTGTCTGGCTTTTTCCAGGAGCTACAGTATAAGACTCTCGGCTCTGTATACCCCTGTAAAGTTTACAGGGGTTTACTGTCTGCTGTAAAGTTGTAAGAACATGACTTTGTGCTCAGTAGCATCTCAGTTCACTCCAGGCTCCCAAGTGACGAGCAGCTGAAAGACTGAGCGACTTAACCTAAACTGCAGCACGTGTGCTTCCCCAGCCTGCGCCAGATTTACACCCCTCCATTGGCGCAGCGGGCTCCAGAGGCTTCTGAACTCGGTTGTTTACTGCTTCCTCGGCTCACGAGCTAACGAAGGGAACGTGGACCTGACTGATCGCCTCCACTTTCTCCTTTGATTTCTTCAAATGGCCCGGGTCCCAGGAGACCCGGCGCTGTCGTCCTCTGCTGACAGAGGCGTAATTAAGATGTCAAAGAACTCTCCGCCTGCTTTCCAGCAGCCATAATTTGTACTCCACCAAACTCATAAATGTTTCCACACTGGTTCACCAAAGTGCGTCTGCCAACAACAGCTCATTAAATTATGCTCCAGGCATCCAGACAACCTGCACCCTTCCACCAGCTGATTCTAATCAGACCTGTTCTGATGACAGTGCCCACAAAAAGAGGGACTGAGGACTGGGATTGGGGGGGAGGGAGGGGGCAGATCAGATATCAATTAGGGCTGTTGTTTCATAAATCAGCTGTGCGGAGAATCAATGTAGTGCAATTAGTATCAAATAATGCTAATCGCCCTAGACTTTCTGTGCCAACAGAGAATGGGCAGTAGATAAGGAGAAGGAGAGGTAGGTGGATCATATTTCCAGAGGAACAAAGAAAAGCACACTGATTTGCAATGACAATACTGTGTAGCTCTACTCACTTATTAATACTCACTGGGTATTATGAGGGAAGGTCCTTATTTCATTTCATTTGATTTAAATGAATTTGATTTAATTGCAGAAGGTGCAAAAGGGCTGATTTGCATGTGGAGAAAATACCCGAAATTAAAAAGTATTCAAACCCTAAGGTCAGGACGGTTTTGGTCGGGGTCCATTCACAGCAGTGTGACGAAGTTTCATTTCCTTGAAGTGTGGATTGAAGAAATGTCTCATTAGGGTGTAATTTAACTTGCGATGTGACTTGCATTTGGTTCAAAGAGAAAGCGCATTCACCTCATATGATACCACTTGGTAGCACTTTGAAATAATGTCTGCAAATGCATAATGAATTCCAGCAGAATAACACTGTAAAAACACTTGTGTATCTGCACTTTCTCTCAATTCTGCACTGCTGGAATTTGAATTTATCTCTGTTCTTGCCATTTACTCAGACCTATTACATAAAATTGCACAAATGCAGACTAAAAATTAATTCCAAAGAATTTGGGGCAACTACTTTCTTACATGCTATTTCTATGGTATTTGGTCCAGATTCATTCTGAACAACAATTTTTTTTAATGTTACCAAATCCGGACACTGAAATTTAACTTAATAGCTAATAAATGACTACATATACATCAGTTGTTCAAATAACAGAGCTAACATTTGTTTAAAAATGGAATTCGGTGCCCACTCTAGATCTACAAAAAGGTACGAGGATGCTTTTCTGTATTGTCCCAGTAAGCTATTTCTGCTAAAGAAAATGCTTGTCTTCCTTGTTCTCAGCCCTATTTGAACGAAGAATGTGCAAGTCAGTGGCCTGTAAATACATCCTATTCAAAATGAATTCCTTCAGTTTAATGCTCCCCCAAATATATGGCCCATTACACCAGGTCCCTTAGAATGATTATTTCTAATATATGGAGTTGTGCCCTTAAATTCATAGCCCTATAGTTATTTATATTTTTACCTCTGGAAGAGTGCAGAGAACGTCAGTCTGAAGATATACTGCCCAAATTATACCTCTTAATAGGAGCAGAGCACATTTAAATTAGAGGCACTTTCTGAGTCTTTACGCAGCACATGACTGTAAATCAATCTTCCAGACCCCGAGTCACTTTATAGATGCTGAACTTCTCAGTGCGGTAAAGAAGGAATTGTTTATAGACTTGCGGTGTAATGTTGCCCGTCTTCATAAATACATTAGTCGAACCTAATGCGAAAAAGATGACTTGCTTTCCGACACATAGCAACTAAAATAAAACAAAACACTGGCAATTGTTTTTACCCCCCTCCCCCCCGCCACTCCTCTGTCTGTCTCTCTTCTTACTTGTCACGGTCTTTCTGCTGTTGGCTTCTGCCACGCGTCTTTGCCTCCCTGCAGTATCATGTCAGGAGCCCTCTGAAAGCAGGGGAAGCCAGCCAGCTCTGCTCCAGGCTTGGCTCAAGACGCAGGGCATCTAGAACAGAGCTGCACGATGGCTCGAGCGAGAGCTCCAACTCCCAGTAATGGGTTTTCCAGAGAAACTGAGCCACGAGGTCAGGCCTCTTGGGAACTTCCAGGGCAATGCAGCCAAAAACCGAACTTTCTGGTGCTTCTGCATGGCCTGGCCAGCAGTTGACTGGAGACCTCAGGAACCAGAAGCCTTGGGTCAGAATGGGTTCGTCTTACCTTTATGGAACCCTTTAATTTAATCTAAAATCCCTTTTTTTGAGAATATATGGCATATGGAATATATAGTAACGCACAGACATGGAGGACGAAAAGGAAGAAGTGAAAAGCCCCTCTACTGGAAAGAAGTAGAAGTCCATGTCGAAAAAGGGGCCACACACAAGTACATTAAAAGGCATCCATTTTTTTTGTCCAGAACGGAGGAGATCAGGGGGGGCTGATACAGTCTGCAGAATCGTCATGGTTATTGACAAAGGGATGCTGATGGACACATAGTTATCAGCAGTGAAACAAGGACACGAGGGCATGAATGGGGCATGCATAGGGATCACATTTAGGGTAGAGAGAATGGTTTAATGAGTGGTGCAGTGGCACAGCGGTTGGCATTGCTGTCTGGGGCACTGGGTTCAATTCCAGAACTGGGGTGCTGTCTGTGTGGAGTTTGTATGTTCTCTCTGTGTTCACCTGGGATTCCGCCGGTTGCTCCAGTTTCCCCTCATAGTCCAAAGACATGCTGGTAGGTTGACTGGCTCTGATATGAGCGAGTGCATGTCGGTGTCTGTCCGTCCTGTGAAGGATTGGCATCCCGTCCAGGGTGTACCCTTGGCAGGATAAACACTGGCTCCCCCACGACCCTGAATCGGAAATAGTAGTTAGAAAATGGATAAATGGAAGTAGAAATGAGATAAATAGAACACAGGATGAAATCCGAGTACTAAAAAACAGGATTTAAAACTGTCTGAGACCTCTTGGTGGCACCATAACCATAAGTCAGCTTAACCAGCCACTGTCCCAGAGAAAAGTGAAAGCAGATAGTGGAAAAGATAGATAGCAGACAGATAGATTTAAAAACACATCTCTAGCTGAAAACTACAAGCGCTTTAATATCAAATCTCCAATCAGAGAATCAGCAATATGCCATTCTCTCTTAATGCAACTTCTCTGCCCCTGCTGCACACAGCCGATTCCTGCATCTTTCATGAGCCAGGATGATCTGGTAAATGAAAACTGCATCCCGTTTTGTTCTTTGTTAAATAAATACATGTCAATTCCTCACCTTCCATGCTTCCGGCTTCTCCGACCATATTGCGTTGTTGACAGTACTACTGTCTTCACCTGAAAAGTCTGACAGCGACTCTCTGACCTCCAAGAAATAATGCCATGGCTTATGTCTCAATCTCCTTATTTGTCTTCAGCTCCAGTGTTACCAATAAAGAAGAATTCAGACCCCCTTAACACAAGAAGAAAAATAATTTAGATTTGCAAATCAATCTAAGTTGAACTTAAGAGGAAAAGAAAAAAAAACATTCTTTTTTTAAGTTAACTTGTTGCTTGGCTGATTGATTGCAGTCATAAAGTCAGTCTTTAATCTAGAAACACTACGAATGAATTGCATTATGAAAGACAAGGCCTGAGGTTGAGGAATCAGATGAGCTCTGACATTTTGGCTTCTGTGTAGGAATGGCACAGATGGGGTCTGTCTTTCATTCCTCTGCTGCCACAGGAAGTACTCAAGTGCTCAGGAGGAAGATAGAGGAAGTGTATTGTGTTGTTTGAGTATTGTCACTTGGATGGTGAAGATGAGAAAAAAAGCAGCTCCAAGCATCCAGACCTATCACTGCCTGAGTATCAGGCCCTGCTGCACAGCAGAACTCACTCGACATAGGAAGAGTAAGACTTACTGACAACAGACCAAGATCAGAGCCTACCTGGTCCTAGAGGATCCCTGATCAATCAAGACAGGACTAAATATCAAAGAGTTTTCCAAGTTGGACAAAAGCAGGGAAATGTACCCAACTGAATTCAGAATTAATTTAATTTTAATTTAAAAAATCGAAATAACTTTAAATGTACAGTTAAGTAGGAACAAATACAATTTAGGAATTTTAAATTCTGTATCAATAAATAATGAAGAAGCCTACATGGAAGCATCTCTGTTAACCTTATATTTCTTTCAGCGTCCTTGAAATGAATTATGCTAGTCATGTGTGACTACGGATAGTAAAGGTCACAAACTGGGGGTGGGGCATTTAGAGGTGCCGATCGAACATTAAATGCACATTTCTAGGAGGCTGCATGAAACTGGAGCATCTGGTGGAAAAAAAAAACATGCACATTTGGGGGAGCATGCAGACTCCACTCAGAATGTGCCCAATCGAGACTCAAACCCAGGATTATACATAGCCCTGTGGGATGCAGTGACGACATCACTACACTGATGTTCAAATGAAAGAAGTTGCTATGCTCTGCTGTAGGCCTTTGTTTCTGTGTTGGTGCTCAACTGCTTTATCTGCACTGTGTCCTTGGAAAAATGGAGCGACTGAAATGGATGCTAAATGCTCTGAATCAGACCACCGACACCTAACATCGCTTTTGCATAATTCATGGTGTGCTGTGCAAGATCAATAGAGATACAGGGCACTGAAAGAGAGAGACTGGATGAGTTAGAGGGAGAAAGTGAGTGATTTATAGCGCCTGTACTGCATCGGCTGATGTTGGCACATTTATTACCGGGATCTGCACACGGCGCCCAGGCTGTCTGAGCCGGGTCTGGCATCAGGCCAGGGCGATAGAAGAAAGCCTGTGTCAGAGAATGGCAGTGTCGCCATTTGTTAGGTGTCATCTGGCTTCATTAGCGACAGGCAGATGTCTCAATCGCTGTCTGCAGGGTCTGCGTGATTAATGAAAGGCCGGGGAAATCAGAGTTTCTTCTCCCACATACAGGCAGACAGGCTCCTATATTTTTTTGTTTTTTTGAGCTGCTTCTGCCGCTTGATGAAAAATGCCCACCGCATTTAATTTCTCAGGATCCAGCCGTGACAGAGTTCCAATGAGAAACATCTTGATTGATCCAACAAGATAAAGAGATAAGGGAAAACTCAGTGCTAATATTGAACGACTGTTTCTTTTTTTTTCTTTGTCCATTTGTCTGCAGACTAAAACATCATAAGGGTTTAAGTCCAGTCTCTGGACTCAGGGGTATGTTCATACTCAGGCCAAGAACTGAAGTTTATCCTGGCTACTGTCTCCTCTCGTAGTCTGAGAGCATATGCGTTCCCACCATAGAGGAAAAACTGGTCCATTGCCGGATTACCCCAGTAATGCTGATGCTGGTATTTAATTATACACGTATTCGCTGTAGTAAGGGCAAACTACCATACTCAAGGATACAACAGCAGTGTCCTCAGTGATCATGTCTATCCACAAGCTTCTGAATAGGAGTCTGGAGCCATAGCTTCTACTCTGCACAGCACAACTCCATACACTGAACCCAAGAGGACAAAGACTTAAAACTGGGAAGACTCACAGGGTGATGCCACAATAATGCAAGCATCCCTAGCATAGAGATTATGAGAGTCTGACACAACCTCATGCACAAAGAGGAGCAGACACAAACACAATACTGGCCTTGGCCTGCAGTTTGAAGGCTGAACCACTAGTAAGTATCCCAAAAGATGCAAAACTGCTCTTGGAAAACAGGACTATGCTGCAGATGTAAGGAGGTTTCAGTGGAATGGACCAGGGCTGTGTAGGAGATCAGGGTAGCCTGAGCTGCTCACAAAACAACAGCCTAACAGAGCACCTTCCTTTGCCAGGCTTCAAGTTTCCTGGTGCAATACGAAGCATAAATATAGAAACAAGGGATGATATTGCATGGGTTCACTCTGAACGATACCCAGACCTGAAATGTGACCTTTCTCATTGAGAGCTGAAGCATCCTGCTAACACACAGATGGCTGCAGCATCTTTTAAAACACGCCCAACCTTGACACATGGGCCCCAGGCGTGTTGGCTTCTTGCAGATATCAGCAAAGAAAAACACATGTGATCATGCACGGGAGAGAGATATATTCTCACAGGTGAGCAAAGCCCATGCACACAGGTTTATCTGTGCACACTGAGCTTAAACTGCTACACACTCATGCACTGTGACAAAGGTACATACAGTCCCTAGTGCAAAGCCTGGAAGAATCTTTCAGAATCTGGGTTATAATCCCACAGCAAAACCTTATTTTTTAAATGGCTTGATTCATGATCAAATGAACTGCTATGTATACTAATATACTGTGAAACTCATACCAACTCAATGGCAGAAGCAATTAGAACTTATTAAATTACAAAATGTATTTTTAATCAAAATATTAATACTGTATTTTGTGATAGAGATTTTAATACCCCAACACACTGAAATCCATTCTTGATAGAATAAATAAGAATAGAGTGCAGGAGTAAACATCTCTGGACATAACCAAAAGCTAATAAAGAGATTGTTTTTTGTTCCATGCTCTGAATGGACAGTCACATAAAAGGCCACATTTTATGGTGTGGTCCTGTCTATTGAGGAAGTGCACAAAAGAAAAAGGGCATGTTGACATAAATAAATTATTTACGACTGCCCTCCTGATTGCAGATTTGTTATTAAATAATTTAGGCATCGTGACAACTAAGAAAAGGTATTATATTTTATACGATAGGTATAAGCCCTTATAACAGCTTATAATATAAGAATAAAGAAATATTTCCATTAAGTTAACTTAAGAAACAGTGCCCAAGGCCAGCCAGTGGAGGCCAGTGCAATTTGGCTACAACTGAAATCCGACCAGAAGATTTGGTTCTTGTTAAAGTGCAAGAAGCAACAGCATGAACAGACTGTAGCCCCCAACTAACACCGCTCGGAACACAAGAGAACACTACTTTACAGTGGTCTATTCTAGAAGTCCTAAAAGCACAAACTAAACTAAAGAAAGAGCAAGGATGAGTTGTGTTACAATGAAGGAAAAATGCAGACATTGCGACACTGTAGACATCTTCCCTCAAGGTCTGACAGGTTTGACAGGTCTATAATAACACCCAGATCTGAAAGGATCACTGAAATCACATTAAGCCGAGCTGGACAGGGCTCCCAGTCCAGTCCACAAGGTGCAGCCCTGGAGGTGGAAACACTCCACTCTCTGTACATCTGCTGTAATGATCCATACTTTTAAACTTGTACTGGATGGTGAAATTGGTCCAATTAAGACTTACAGTAATTGATCTGATGTAAAGCTCTTCCTCAGGTTTTGTGCTGCTGATGAGTTTAAAAGAGACCTATGAAACGTGCTAGACGGCTGTACTCAAAGACCCCTGCCATACAGAAACTGTCCAGGTTTCTCCCAGCACTTCTGCATCACTGAGCTGGTCATTCTGGCGCTGGCTGCCTGCGAAAGAAAATGAATATATTCCACATCCATCCACTAGATGGCGCTGCAGATGCCATCTTTGAAACTGCTGATCAAAGATGATTACAGCCACTTAACATTTTCTTTATGTTGTGGAGGTGTGTTTGAGGGGAGAGGGGGTGAGGGAGCTTGTTCAGGTGCATCTAAAAAAAATGGGGAGAGTAATATGTGAAAAAAAGGATCTTGTCATCTTATCGACAACAAAATGTTTTGTGTTGGGATCCAAAGCGACACTTACCAAGAACATAAAAATCATGGGGCAGCACAAAAAGAAAAGCCACAGTGACTGAATGATGAGGTGCAATTTACCATGCCTAAGATCATGGCTGCCATATACAATTATGTAGTTCCATACAGTATATCTGTTTATATTCCTATTATCTGTGTACTTTGTGTGTATCTTTGTCTGTATACATAAATCACTAACCCAATAAGAATATAAAGAAATTCACCCACTGTTGTCAGTGGCTAAGGAATGCACCTTTCGGAATTAATGAAATAGCAGAGTTGGGTAGACAGCTGAACATGGAGGAGGGGGGCCTTGGAGACAGATGCTGTTATAAGCTGCTTGGAATTCTTGGTGAGTAAATTCAAACAATCAAGTCACGATTATCCACATTGCTTTGATTCTTCCTTAAGCTTTCAGTTTTGCAGGTAGCCCGTAATTGAGGCTTTTTGCATAGCAGTATGCATCAGGCCCTGCAAGAACAAGCGACCAGGCCCAAAGGCGTTGAGAGTCTGCTCCTCTATGTGACTGGGTTTTTTTTGCAGCGGCTTTATCTCAGTGTCAATGTGAAACAGGGCTTCCCCTTGGCAATTACTCTGATCATGTGTTTCGGCCAGCCAGCTGGGAGTCAGACTTGCCTGAAGCTGCTGCAGGTGTCCACCTGCCTTTCTACCACACTGCCTCCATCTCCACAGCCACTACGCATCTGATTTCTGATCAAAGACAGATCTGAATATCAAGAAATGTTGAATGCAAATGACAGTATTCTGGTGATGCCAGTTTTATTTGTTATTGTTTTAGTTTATGATTTGTTTTGATTGTCTGGATCTTGTATTTCTGGTAGAGGCCAGAATCAAGGCTCCAGTGCAGAGTATTGCCTTTAAACTTCCTTTTGACTTACTGTCAAAGAGACAAAATTAAAACAGTTTGTTTTACACTCAGACTATACCTGCCTGCGTGGTGTGGACTCTAGCATCTCCAGGACTGAGACTTGAGGAAGGGAACAAGCACTCTCTAATGAGATCTGCCGTAGGGTCTCTGTGTTTAACATGACAGACCTCAGTAAACACCTTTGTGCCAACATGTCCTGGTGGAACAGTGGAAGTGAAGTGAACTGGAGCCCTTTCAGAGTCCCCACCCCACCAGGCACACGTGCACACAGAGCTGTCTGAGTCACCGTCACCTGTGGAGAGCTGCCGTCACAGGAGACACTGCTTCGCGGGCAGGTCTCAGGCACTGAATGCAAATGAAGGAGCATCAATGCAGAAAGCATTTCTCGAACAATCACCTCATTCGCCTCACAAGCAGCGGGCCTCACTGAAGGAAAAGGAAGAACAGAGACAAAAGCAAAATGAATGCGGTGTCACTGAAAGAAAACACGGCTGGCTTTCCCCTTGCAAAATGAAAGCTCTGGGTTTTAGACTTCTAGATGTGTACATGCCTGCAGCCCCAGATTTCAATGTACAGAAGCATGGGCCATCTTCTCAGCCTGTCAGCTGACATCTGTCCAGCTCAGCACAGCTTTTCCCTGATCTTTATCCCACCCACCAAGTTCAACCAGACCTCGTGAAAAGAGTCCGAGCTGAAGTAGTGGACCTTTCTGCAGGGCACGCTGCGATATCAGGACAAGCCCTTGCTGTCTCCAGTGGATTACCTGTGAGGCAAGATACTGCCCTTTTCACCATGCTTTGCAAATTAAATTGCCTGTAAATTTGCTTCTACTTGCCTGGTCTGAGCAGCTCTTGTCCGAAGTCAGTTGAAGATTTAATTACAAATCTTCTTTGATTGTGGCGTGATGTGTATCCACTGATCCACAGGTTGAAGATCAAACTCAAAGTTTCTGACCATTCTAAGGGACAGGGCAGAAAAATCTCAGTTCCTGTTTACTTTTTATTGAATTATTTAATCACTTAATTCTAATTAGCACCTTAATTGTGATAACGATGGTTTTACTTATTTTTACAGATGCACTGATTCTTAATTTTTTCTTCTTTTGTTTTTTTAAGGAAAGACTGGTTTTAAAGAAAGGTGTGTCATGGTAAGAAACTAATTCCCATACTTATATTGGGGGCTCAGAAACTTTTCTTGACACTGTACAAAAGCAATATTTCTACTATATTTATTCCAAGCAGAGAACAACCACGCAAATATCATGTCTGCAGTTTAGTCCATATCTGATCTCAGTCACGCACACAGACGCATTCATTCTCACCAAATCCATCAAACCAGTTAACATCTGCAGACTATGCTGGATCAAAGCCCCTTTGGAATTATAGAAGTGGGTTGTTTACATGGGGCTCTCTACAACTGAATGAAAATGTATTTAAAACACACACACAGTGTTTTATAAATAACCATTTTGAACAACATAAAAAACATTAGTGCTCCCAGCCCCATTTAGCTTTTATGTGGTAGGAGATTATTTTCTCTCAGAGAATGATTAAAATTGACAGGATTTAGGGAAAGAAATCCTAGCAAAGGCAACGCTTTGAACATGTATTAATGCCATTATTAATGGTTCTGAAAGCAGGGTCTGTGAAAGAGTTTATTCACGGCACTCCCACGCACCAGATTATTTCGCCACTGCCAGCACTTAAAGGCTTTATTGGTTGGGAGAGGTCGCTGAAGAGGCCACTGCGGATGGCTTCTCTCTGCTTTCCACAGTGAGGCAGACATCTACACTGAAATCCTGCAGGCACAGGTTCCTCACTGAGATAGCGACAAGTGTCAGAGGATCCTGTAGCCTGTGGCTTATCACCGGCACTACTGCAGACAGAAAGCCTAGGGCTTCCGGCTCTATTGTGCCAACAGCATTCATCTGTATGGATTGTTCAGATCATTGTTCTCCTGCAGCTTGAAGCTGCTGCTCTGAGTTCTAGGGAGGGGTCAGAACCCCAGTGTTTCCTTGATTCAGACACGCAACTGACGATGAAAAGGGCCCGTCTGTTTTGTCTGCGTAGCGGAAACACGGATTACCATGGCATTTACTAAAAAAATGCAATTCTCGAAAAAAAATACAATTTTTTCAGCTGCCATTGTGTACCTTTGAAATTTCATTATCAATTCATACTGTGGCTTTAGAAATAACAGGCTGATTGAGAGTTCTCTCCTCCATGTCCATAGTTTAAGACACAGGCATCCATATTTTGCACTGTGGGCAACTCATCCATTAATTCATCAGTGCAGAAGTTTGCCCCCCTTTTGACCTCAGTGTGAAATCGGGCCAATGAATGCCCTTATGTGTTGGCCAATAAGAACAAATAGGTCTTTTTCTGGCACACCATGCTGTGAGCATGGACTTTCCAACGTCTCACTCACATTCGGGTTGTTTTATGGTGTGAGCTGATCACCAAGGGCGAGTGGATTCAGCGAGTCTGATGTCAAGCCTTGGCCGCTGGCTGCTTGTGCTGTGTCGCTTACACAAACTGTCAAGGCTGAGAAGAGAACAAGCAGAACAGCCGCCGCCCGTGGCAAGCCTGCTGAGCTTCAGTTTGCCACCTTAGAAGGGCACGCCCGGAGGCTGTTGAAGAAGTGAAACAGAGGCCGTCAAGCTGTCTTTGTGGATGATGCGGACCCTTGAAGCTTCTAAACTTATTCCAAGAAACTTTGAGAAACTAAGAATCATTGTTAACATAGACGCTACCTCAGTAGCGGGGAGCCAGTGTTCGGGTGTACTTTTTTACATTCAAAACCTATTCAGATGATTTACGAATGTGAAAATGAGCGTCTCTCAAGTGCTGCAAAAAGTCTGGAAAACCTGAGGGCACACATGCCTCTGGAGTCCAGCTCTCTGGCTCTAACAGACCAGCTGTATTTCTGACACCACCAACCCCCCCCCCCACCTCCTCAGCTTTCATCACCCGAAGGCTCCGCGTGTGGATCCAGTGTCAGTGATGGACTCTGATTCACTTACAGTACTCCTGAGAGACTGGAATCGAGTCTCCAGCGTCCTGGCTCATGCAATCTAGCCTCCCTACAGATGTGCCTTAATTTAACCGGAGCGGCAATTTCTCACTTCTCCACCTGACTGCTGTGTGCAGGGGCTGCTGTGCTTCAGTCATGAATCAAGCGATTCCCCTTCTATTTGTGTATAAATAGATTTTCAATCCTTTGTAATGAGAAGCGCTATACAAATGCAATAAAGTATACAACTGTAAATGTACAGAAACAGAGGGCATGTTGGGCATGAGACTTACATTTCCTTAAAGTGTGACTGTCAGACTTCTGAAGCGAGGCTCCCAGCTCCCTAGCCTGCCCCCTGGCTAGAGGTGACAGATTTCCCAGACACACATGTGACAGCTGCATCTCTACAGAAAAAAAAAAGCTAAAGACAGATTAAATCTTAGAGAGAAAATGCACATAGCTTAACATTGAGACTGAACAGCTCATTTACAGTACTATTCCATTACAGTGGAAATGCAAACATCTATTAATCAGCCAGCTGGGAAGAATCTTGTCAAAGAAGCACCCAACTGCCTGACTATCTGGCCAGTTCCACACAGCAGGGAGGTACAGCTCCCGTCCAAGAGGCCACGGGGTCTGCATGCTTCCTAGTTAATAATAATAATAATAATAATAATAATAATAATAATAATAATAATAATAATAAT